CCCAACCCCACCCCTCCTCTCCTTCTCTTTTGGAGCTCCCTTCCCCCTCCCCCGTTTCTAAAGAAGGGTCAACTTTCCTGCTCCTCTGAGGCTGCCTGGCCTGCTGTGTTCCTCCAGCTCCACACCGAGAAAGAAAACTTAGTCGATTGGTCTGATTTCTACTTTCCTACAGTAATATGTGTGCCGAATCATGAATGCATATGCGAGTACAATCTACATTCTAACTTGTCACAATCTCTTATTTTATAGTCAGTTCCCAATAATAATAAATTGTTCAGCTTACAGGGTGCATGGTATATCATCCAACATCACTTTTACATCTTCTTGCCTTCCAATATTTAAGTTTTCTCCACTGATTGTTAGACTGGTTCCTCCAGCATTTATCCCTTGTACTGGAGTAATATGTGTAGGATTTGGGTCCTGGTCAATTTTGAAAAAAAAAAGACAGGTTAGCTCTACATAGATTTACAATTTCTGCAAGTAATGAGATAAACATCTAAGTGCTTCTACTGAGTTTTTATTGATTGACACTTTTTTTCTAGTATATATTTTAGGAAATCAGGGATTATAGATAAAATGCTGAATTTGTTTAGCTACCTTCACAGCAGACAAAATTGAAATATGGAATTTGAAATCTGATAAAATGTGTGGAAAAGGGATACTCACAATGTATGCAAACCTGCTTTTCGAAGTACCATTTTTGTTATTTTTTAGCTGAATGTGAACAAAATTATGCTGGGAATTTGAAACGTTATTTAATTCACAAACAACCCTGCAAAACAAAAAAAAATTAAAAAGTAAATTATGAAACCATTAACAGACCTGATGAAAATCAGAGCAGAATAGGCTAAACCTGAATTATGTGATGCAAGTAAGCAGTTATTAAGTTAGAACATTCTCCTCCATCTAAGTGAGGATATAATCTTACACAAAGTCTGATCATGCCTTAAAACATCTGCTGGAATTTGAAGGTAGTGGAGCATTCAGTTGTGCAAGGTTGAAGGCCTGGCAATCTTTCTTGCAGTAATCTGCTTGGATCAACACAAGGTTTGGGTTTCCTTCCAAATGCTGTTCCATGGTTCATCCCTCTGCAGTGATGGCAGGTAAATATCCCACAAAACTGACATCAGTTGAAGTACTATGGAATACAGCCCAACTTGGACTAATTGCTCTTACTAAATCTTAAATCAAGAGAAATCCACCAAGTTGGTTCCAATCTTAGCCTACTACCATTGCTCTCAATCTGACAACCACAGAATTGTTGCAGCGATGAAAATAGCCATTTGGCCCATAATATTTGCATCAGCTCTCTGAATGAGCATCTCACACAGTGTCAGTGTCATTTCTCCTGCCTTCTCCTTATAACTGTGCCCTCTAGTCCTTTTCAAATAATTCCCTTGTGAATACTTTGGTTGAACCTGCCTCTACCATTGAGCAGCACATTCCAGAACCTAATTATTCATTGTCTGAATATATTTTCTTCATATCATTTCTGCATCTTTCACAACTTACATGATGTCTGTGCTTTCTTGCTTGCAATTCTTTCACTAGTTGGGATTCACTATTTTATCCTCATTTACTCTGTCCAGAACTGTCCTGATTTTGATCGAATCTCCCCACGCCTTCTCTTCAAGGAAAACCAGTCCAAGCTTCTCCAAGCTTCTCCAATCTACCTCCATCGCTGAAATTCCTCATCCTCTTCTGCATTCTCTCAAAAACCTTCACATTTCTTCCTGAAGTGTGACACCCAGAACTGTTCACAATACCATGGGTGAGGCCAAACCAGTGTTGCTCTTGTACATTATTAATGGGACGCAGAACCTAGAATGCTTAATTAACTCCTCTCTCAACCTCCCTTGGCCACTTTTAATGACTTATGCACCAGGTCCCTCTGCTCCTGCACCCGCTTTAGAGTCACAGCCTTTAGTTTATATAGCCAGAAGAAATGTAAGATTCAAATGCAAGTGCGAGGCATTTTTTTTGTGAGGATTTCTCACAATGAGATCCAGCAAGTTTTCTCACCCAAACATACCAAAATCAACTCATTAACTACCTACTCCACCCCTATGGCAACCCTCAAGTATGATTCTATCTCCACTCTCTGTTCCTGGAGCAATTTGTCACTGGGGCAATAGGCTGGAATTGATTGGAATCCCTTGTTTCCTCGTCATCTTTAAAAGTGAAACTCTGGCAATCCAAAGCTGCCCTGCATGGCAGGCAGGGGGAAATTGGCATTTTAATTTAAGGACAGGATCCTGGAAGTCATGCTGGACAGGAAGGTGCAAATGTGGGACATTTTCTTCCATCAGGACTAGCAGAGGAGGCCAGTCTGATCCGAGGTTACCACTCAGCTCATTGCATTTTCAGCTCTCTGGAGAAATACCCAGCACTGTGGGAAAGCATACTATGTGCTTCACTCTGCCAACATAAATGCCACTGTCCTTTCTGCAATACCTCACAGTCACTATCACTGCTACTGTTCTCACCTCCCGCCAAGCCCCATGCTCTACCACCCTTACAATTGCCTGCAACATCTTCCCTCACTGATTCTCACCCAGTCTACCCCCTGATATCACAAACACCTCATGCTTTCTGTGCTGCCTACACACTCGCTCAGGACACCTCCCAACCAGCACCAAAAGTAACGTGTATATACCTCACACTCATCTTCTCCAGTATCTAAGCCTCCTATATTTCAGGAGAATAACAGTCCACAGTAGGGTAGAAAGAATCAAGGCAGGTGTTGGACTGCCTGACATTTGGCTCCTCACCCCAATAAGGATCCTTACTGTCCGCTAAGCAGCTGACTGACATTGTCAAATCCCATGGACTGGTATTAGATGCTGTCTGGACCCCTTTGTGAAGGTGAACTCCCTTTACTTTACTGAGGCCTGCTGACAACCATGACAAGGTTTTTGCTCAGGTGTCTGCAAAAAACAGCAAGGGAAGACAGAAATAATACTAGCCTAGCCTCTCTGGCTGAGGGGGCAAAAGGCACAAGGTAAGGCAAGGCAATGCTGTGAGCATCCAGACAGGCACAGAATGAGTGAGTGCTATGATAGCAAGTGCAGTGATGGAGATGCAACCTGGTGCAGTCCATGAGCGGGTGTCTGGTTCCGAGTTGCACAGTATCCTCGCTGCAGCATTACAATGATATTTCCTGGTGCAGCCTAAGCGGCCACACTGAACTGCAGATGTGTCCTGCAAGTGGATTGGAGATTCGCCATGAGGGTTCTGAAAAGCTGGGTTAGATTCCAATACCCATAGACATGGGGTGAGTGTGGTTAATGCTCGTGGTGTATAAAGATGATGTTGGTGAACAGTGTCCAACATGGAGGTCCTCTGGAGTAAGTAGTGAATTTAAATAGCTAGGTACCTGTTCCTGTTTCTGTTTCCATGTGAAGATTTCTTCATGGCATTTAACAATCTGTAATCCCCTTAATTGGTGATTTGTCACTGCGTAGTGAGAAACCTACCAAGCTACTCAGCAGATGAATAAAAGGTGGAACAGGATGCTCGTGATATTGAGATATGCCTTGCCTGAATTCTCATCTATTTCTGCCACAAATCTTGCAATAGCCCATGTCGCTCAGTTCTCTATACATTTTCACCTACAATCTCTGGTCAATACAATGCATACATGGGAAGCAATGCTGTTTTACATTTCGTGGCCTTCCTGGACAACAATGTGCAAAGTTCCTCTGCAAAGCTAAGAATGGAAAATGACTTCTGCAGGAATGAAGGATGTCTTTAGTTGAGAACCAACTTGCAGAAAGGGAATATAAAGAAATGTAAGCTACTTTCAGTTTCACAATGCCCACTTACTCATTATAAACCAAACGGAGTTTTGGTTCGTAATGTTAATTTTATTTTTGGTTTTGCTCCTAATTGGTATGTCAGGATAAAATGTTGATATTGAGGTGACAATTGTGGATTTTGCAGGTGCTACTGAATAATTCAAGTTTAACATTTTTATAAATTAAATTTCAGAGGAAATATTTGCACATTATAGTCATAGAGTTGTACAGCACAGAAACAGACCTTTCGGTCCAGCTCGTCCATGCCGACCAGATATCCTGAATTAATCTAGTCTCATTTGCCAGCATTTGGTCCACATCCTTCTAAACTCTTCCTATTCACGTACCCATCCAAATGCGTTTTAAGTATTGTAATCGCGCCAGCCTCCACCACTTCCTCTGGCAGCTCAGGTCCTTTTAAATCTTTCCACTCTCACCTTAAACCTGTGCCCTCTAGTTTTGGACTCTCCTACCCTGGGAGAAACGACCTTGGCTGTTCATGCTATCTATGCCCCTTATGATCTTATAAGCCTCTATAAGGTCACCCTCAACAAAAAAACAGGATTCATCCAAAGATAACAGTAGAATAAATATCTCAGAAATTGGATCTAAAAAATTACTGAAAGCACACAAATACTTGAAAAATCTACTTAGGTACCAATGAATCAGAGCCTCATCCTGCCCTTTTGCACACTCTCCTCAACCTCAATGAAACAAATGATAATTATCCGGCTAAGTAATGATGGTCTCTGGAAAAGCCATGAGACTTCGGTGATGCCTGTATGGGCCTAATGAACTGTTAGAGAGTGCTGGAGTGCAAGGGTCATGCCCCTGACAAAAATCTCATTGCTTGGCTCAACACATGATCTTCTCTTACTTGGGTACTTCACTTAAGATACATCACTCCAGTATTGTGCTGAGTATAATGCAGGATGGAGTTGGCTAGCACCACAGAAGTACATTCTTGCTGCAGATTGACATGTGGTTATAATTGTACACTATTGAGCTAATATTACTTTTTAAAATCATAGAAGAAAAATTGCCAACATGGAATTTCACTCTTATATGAACATCAGAAGGAAGAGGACTAAGGAAAGGGTCTTTGTTTCCCTAATCCCTTTATTACATATCTATGCCCCAGTACTGACTAGATGAGGTGTACAAACTATTTTAGTTATCAGAAACAAATGTCAGAGAATAAGACAATAAAATTAGGGACATAATTTATCAGTGTACTAAAGTGTGTGCACTAAATCACGTCTGCTGCACCAGTTGATTCATATTGATGTCAACTGGAACATTATTACAGAAGATATGTTTCCTAGAATAGTTTTGCTTAAGTAAGGATATACTGTTGAGAAAATTGAAAGAACTGTGATGCTGTAAATCAGAAACAAAAACAGAAATTGCTGGAAAAGCTCAGCAGGTCTGGCAGCATCTGTGGAAGTTCTGAGGAAGGGTCAGTGGACCCGAAACGTTAACTCTGATTTCTCTCCACAGATGCTACCAGATCTGCCAAGCTATTCCAGCAATTTCTGTTTTTGTATGCTGTTCAGAACACTGTTTAGTGAAAACTCAATCATACCAGGCTGTAGAAGATCACTTTTGATAAGTAATAAAATCAGAAAATCAATGCAACATTCTGAACCTAAATTACAGTGTTAATTTGCAATAAAAGCAGAAATTGTCCGAGTGTTCAGCAGATCTGACAGCATACATGGAAGGAGAAACAGAATTAATGTTTTAGATCGATGATCTTTCATTGAACACAATAACACCTGCTTCATTCCATAGATGCTACCAGTCTGTCGAATATTTCCAGCCATTTGTTTTTAATTTCAATTTTCAACAGCATTGCAGAACTGACTTTTGTAACTTTACTTTTCGATAGGTAATTTTTTTATTCAGCAGTCATTTGTACTACACAATTACTTCTGGTGTACCTGACAGAGATGGAATATTGTTCTGCGACTTGATTGCATACGGCATTTCCAACTTTGATTTCCCTGATATCATCAGAAGACGTTCCAAGATTTGAGCCTTTGATGGTCAGAAGGATTCCTCCCTCAAGAGGTCCATTAATGGGATCCAGCTAAACGACAGTCATAATTAATGGATTAACTTTATGCATGTAGTTTTGTTTTACTTTAAGAACTAATATAGCTTTACACATCCAGACAATTGAAAAATAAAGATCAATAGACATTTCATTAAACATACCCACAGGCTGTTACTTCTAATTTTGAAAGTAGGAATATTTTTCCTCAGTGATTGTGATCATTCTGTAATTTAATTTACGTACTAAATGTGTCAGAAAAGTTTATATAAAATGTATACCCAGGTTTTGGACCCATTTATCATTGTGTTTGTACTGAAAATTAGGTTATTTCCCACAACAGTCCTAATTAATCACCACAATTTCAGATATTTTTGAGATCAGGGAAAATAAGTCTTAATCATCATTACTTACCTGTGAAATAGTTGGAAATGGACACTGATCAGTCATATCAATAACATCATCACAGTGACGTTTATAAACGCATCTTTTCAGGGTCTTACACCAAATGCATTCATATGTTTTGTTAGCAGAGAGACAAAGACTGCAGTCCTTGTGGCTGTATCCACAATTATAAAGAGTCACTTGAAATAAAAAAAGTGTATCTTATATTATAACATTACACCATTTTTGTATGAATGCATGCAAACTCTTCTGGGAGAAATAATCAATTAGTACAGACACTTACAAACAACAGAATTAGTGAAGGCACACAGAAAATTTGTGAATCAAGAATTACACTGATTTCTTTATAGTCCAATCCCCTGCTACCACCCTAACAGTGCAGCTATTCTTCATGTATGAACATAATAAATATAGGAACAGACTTAGTGTCAATAGGCTATCAGGGCAGTAGGGCTTTCTCTCAGGAGAGCCAAATGTTTCCACTCAATGTCAACACGTGCATGTTTCCAGCATGGCTTGTGACTGCACACAAATATAAACTAATTACTTCTCGTTCAACATAAAATGCAAATTTCAAATGTTCCTGACGTCTGGAATCAAGGCATTGTGTGAACACAGAACATTAATAATAATCTTATAAAATGAACTGTAATCAGATCCATTTTCTACTTGTTAGTGGACATTTCCACACTAATCTACTGTGACACTAGGATGCCTTGGGCCAGTTATTTTAATTGTTATCCAGTGGGCTTGATTAGGGACCTGAAGCTGACTAAAGGATGAAGAAAGGTATTTTTATCCCCTCAAACATTCCTGTTCTCTCCTGCATCAGAATTTTGAAGCTCCTGCACATTAGCTAACATGATTATAAAATCACAGGATCCCTACAGTGGGGAAAGAGGCCGAATTGTCTGTAGAATTCCTAGATTATTTGTGAAACATACTCTTACCACGTAATTGGCATTCATCTGGATTTTTCCTTATTAATTAAGGCCAGCATTAATTGCTCATCCCTCATTGTCCTCAGGAAGGTGGTGAGCCAACTTTTTGAATTGCTGTTGTCCAGGCGTACCTAGAGAGCTGTTAGAATGAGCTTTCTAGGGTTTTGACCCCATGACAATAAGCAATTGGTAATGTATTTCCAAATGAGGGGAACTTGTGTAGTGATGAACACATGTGCCTGCAGCCCTTGGTCTTCTAAGTGATAGCAGGTCAAGTCTGAATGGTGCTGCAAGGAATTCGTAGTGTGTTTCTATAGTGCATAGATGATGCATACTGCAATCCTGGGGCACCGGTAGTAGAAAGAGTGAACGTTTAATGTAATGGATGGGATGCCAATCAAGACAGTTGAGTTTCTCGAGCATCGCTGAAGGTCCTCTCCTTTGGCAAGCAGGAAGCATTCTATCACACTCCTGCCTGCTGCCTTGTCAACAATGAAATAGGCATCATATAAGCAAGGAGATTAGTTGCCCATTTTCTAATTCTCATAATTGTCCTTCTAACAAAGACAATTTATTTACATATTTGGAAATGATCTATAAATTACAATTGAATGCAAACTTCTGCATTCTTTGAATTATTGAATCTTGGGACCTTACTGGGTTATAACACAAAATATACTCTAGGGTATCAGTGGCAGTGTTAATATATGTGGTCGTGAGTTAGGAATGAAAGTAATCAAACAGGCTTCAGATGCTTAAACATTGACTAGTGATACCTACTAAAATTACAAGCTTAAAAACAAGCAGGATTAGGGCCAACTCCTATTGTGCAATTTTGAATAGCCATTGGAGGTGCTTTGCAAGCAGGGAACTAAATCTTTGCAAGTGGTCAATTTCTGCAGGAAAGAAGAGGAAGGAATAAAATTGTCAGAATCTAATTTTCAAAACACTTCGCCTAAGAGATGGTGTTTCTTAATAACCTCCTTGCAAGTTATACTTTGCTCTTGACTTCATCTTTTCTTTCCCCATCTGACCCACTGTGCCCCAGTCTGTTTCCAATCTTGCCGAAAACAAAATCACTTACCATCTAATTTGCTATCTATTATTTTCCCTTCTGCTTGTACAACAAAATGTACTATGCGGGTTTCATTTTCATCATAGGAAAACTGAAAAGACATTTTACACAGAAGTGAATTTAAAATACCGCATGTCAACAAAAGTAGTAAATAAAATTTTACATTGGTTCAATAATTTCTGCTCCGTTGGTACTTCTGGGTTTCATGGAACAGAATTGTACTAATATGCTCTATAAAACTGTTTAATTCTTAGTGCGGTCAACAAAATCTCTGCAATGGCAAAGGTAGTTTGTTTTAATTCTTTTTTTATTTTCAGTGTGGAAATTAAAGGAAGGCGGTTGATGAAGAAGAGAAATCAATGCACATAAACCATTGGGCATGTAAACCAGCTCAGAACCCAATGAACCAGAGTGGAAACAAGCCATCCTCAATGCCAAGGAACTGTCTAAGAAGAGATTGTTTCTTGGAATGTCCCAATCACTGAGCATCACAAATCAATGCCATTGTAGGGAAGCAATTCAGTTACTGTACCTGCTATTTTCAAATAGTAAACAGAGGCATTTTTACCTGAATACATTAACCAAAAGATAAATAATAGCAGAGGAATTCCTATCCTTTGCTATTATGTCCCTACCGTAATTTCTTAAGATGTGATGTGACCGTTTGTTCCCCATTTGGGAAAAGAACAATATTAGATATGGAAAACTAACTCACCCAGGAGCAAAGGCTGAGAAATTGTTCTCATGCCTGATCCAATTACTTGACAGAAAATGCAGGGCAAAATGAAGGGCTGCAACCACTGGGTGAGCAGTGACTCATTATATGCCTGCTCTTTCAGCTACCACATTAAAACAAACACTTTGCTTACATTCATTAAAGGAGTACTGGTGAAACGGCGAAACTGTGCAATGCAAAATCTGCATTGATACTGCCAAATGAGACTGCAGCACCCTGAAACTGGCCTCGGGTTGGAATATTCAATTTCATTTGACACTTAGCCACTCGGAAATTGGCAGTGGCCACATCAGGTGCATGGGATGGTGACTACAAGCTGGCTCCCTACCGTGAGAATTGTGTTTGCAAAACACAAAACAGACAATAACAAGTTACTCTCTTAGTCTTCCAAAATATGTAGAAAATTAAGTTGCAAAGCAACCTCCCTCTTGTCTCAGTAAAAATATTCCCTTCCCTTAAGTGTTATGTTATAACTATTTTTTTAAAATGAAATATATGAATTGGAAGCCAGAATAAATATTCATGTCAAAGACACTTCTTCATCAGTAACATTTCCAGCAATTTTGTCCCATAAACAATTTTATTAGCAACATTAATAAAAATCCCAAATAAAGGGAACAGCATTTCCTACGATATTCTCTTCAAAAGCAGTGAGCAGAAAATTAATTACATAAAATTGGATTTTAAAATACGAACCCACATTTAATAAGGGGTCTAACAACGAAATAGACAGAAATCAGCAATTTGCTTTGCAAACAGAATTTCACAAAATGTTAAATTTCAGTGAAGTTGACTGCGTTTTCGTATCATTTGGACCAGTCTGCAAGCTTTTACAAGTATGCAATGTCATAAAACAATACAACTGAAGAATTGTGTTCAGTTGAATTACCAACCTTAAAATTCTCACTCCAAAACATATCTGGTGGATTCCTGTTCACACCTAGAGTCTTTCTCACCAAGTTGTCAACAATTACTAGCTTCTTGTTCTGTAGTAAGGCAAAAAATAGAAAAAATAAAGAATCTGTCTTTTATTTTACGACTACTAAAAACTTTCTTCTTGCACTTACCTGGTAAAAGTTTAAATTCTTCCCATGAAATGAAATATTAGCAGTTTCATTCACTGGAATTAATAGTGGTAATGCATTTTCAAAACGTGGACAGTTTTGAGCCTAGAAAGAAGCCAAAGAAATTGAGATACACCAAATAAACAGTTTTATATCAAGTAAATTTAAAAGCTCCCTTTCAATGCTATCTACTGTCAACATTCCCACATATTAAAGTTATTGTTTCAAATGGAATAAAAATGACTACACAGTGATTTTCTCATTAACTTATCTAAGGAGAAATTGAGAAACAAAAGTCCACATCACACTTCTGCTTCCACATATCATACACAATCATATCAATAAAAGACCTTAATCTGAATCAAAACTTAAGATTTTTTTTCCCATCGTCAAAGAGTCAGAGCAAAGTCTTTAATATCTACACTTAGTTTCTAAGGAGTTAATTTTTTTGGCCATGGACAAAGTATAACTGCATTCCAAACTCCAGTACTTGACCATCTGCATTTAATTATATTTCTGTGTTATTAATATGGCCTTAATTACATGTTCTGGGAATGCACTAACTCTGCTGAAGTCTGAAGAGAACATAATTCTACTCAACTCAAATTTGATTAGTCTCTCTAAAAATGTTCAAAATCTTGTGTCCTACATTCAATACATGATTAACTAATTGTAGAAACTGGAGTAGGCTACTCCTGACTATCCATTTGCTCCATCTTCTGCGTTGCTAGATATGGCAGCCTTTTTATCCTTTTATTTTTGATCCTGCGACTCAAAACTTTGAAGTATTCATCTCCCATCTAAACTTTTCAAATGATTAAAATTATAAGTCTTTTGTGGCAATGTATCCTGACAGCCTTTGGTAGTAATTGGCAGCCGGCACCCTGAGGCCGTGACCGTACAACTGATCAAATTTTCAATATTAAATGATATCATGATACATTCCAATACTCAATATGTTTATTGATAATAAAAGAATAAATTTTAATGTGTGACTGCTATAAATTTAGCGTCTGCTGTTGAGGCTGGAAGAATCAGCTGTGTGTCTACATACTCCTTTAAGTTATCTAAGCTACCATGGCTTTAGTGGGAATGCTGCATTGGAAATCAAGCCTCACTATTCCAGAAGTTGTCATAAATGTGAAATATGACCAACCTAATCCCTAGTACGATTAATAGCAAATTATGACCACTATCTAAGATAAAACTGATTACCAGGATGAGCCTATAGGTCACTCTATCAAGCACAACCTGCACCGCTTTCCATCCTCATGCGAATCATAAATGTGCAACAAAATGGAAACTGACTGCAACCACGTTCGAGTGGGCAGCACAAATGTTTTTTGTTGTGTTTGGGCAGATGGGCTCTACTTAGGAGGCTCTTCAAGGGTTAATTGCATCGAGCAAGCACTTGAACAGTATCTACTGAAGACAACTGTAATCATAGTACCCTGCATGTGAAATGTATACGGTTAGGGTTACCAAAAATCCAACTCAGTGGGATACAAATCCTGGACACAAGCAATCTTAACCACGTCACTGATCATTAGAGACTGAAGTTGGTCATCTCTGAAGGTGAAGTAATCACAGGTGACCTTAGAAGTGTCACCTATGCAGCACAATTCACAAAGACAATTCAAGATCTCAGAAGTTGCACAAGGGCATGGAGATGATTTCTACACACCTTAAACTGTTATGTACTTGCCAACATAGGCAATATTGCAAATAAGACTTTCTTGGTGGTTGTGGGACAGGACAAGATATCAATAATTATAAAGTATCTACAATCTTCTATTGCATTTGTGTGTCATGGCTTGTGCTACATATTTCAGAATAAGGTCCCTGTTGTCAAAAATCCATGTAAAGGCATTTCATTGTCCTCTTTGTCAAATTGCTCCATGTCCTGACGTATTGAAGATTGGGCTGACCTGTCATTTATGTGTGGTGTGAATACTGACTGGTTACATTACTAAAGAGCTTGTTCTGTTTCTGATATTCCCCATATAGGATCATTGGAACCATGACTCGATCTAGATCTAGCCACAGCAGGGGTCATCGTTACAGTCGCTGTGGGGCAACAAAGACTCAGAGAAGTTGAAGAGCAGCAGATGCATCAGCAAGCCCAAGACCAGCAGTAACCTCCAACAGCTGCTGAACAGTCTCCACATATAGAAATCACAGCTTAACATCCCCCCGAACACAGATGGGGTATAGAAGTCCCAAAGTGTACAGTCCTCGATGTTATTTCTTCCAAATGAGTGAGGGTCATTGCCTCTACTCATTTAGGATGTTGCATGACACCATCACAGAATTCTGCAACTGCTGGAGGGGGACCTGAGCTGAATGGGTGGGTAGCTATCTAGGTGACAGCTGTGTTAACTTTTTACACAGCTAGCTACTCCTAAGAATCCACTGGGAATCTGTGTTAAATCTCTTAATCCTCGACTCACAAATTTATTAAAGATTGTTACAGATGCAATTTGTAACAAATCACACTCTGCCATCTTTTTCCTTGATGTTTAGCAAGTGCTGCAGCTTAGGCAATAGGCTTTTACAAACTGGCTGTCTTCCCCTAGGTTCAGGGTGCTATACACGTTTAGGGTGCTGTAGACTGCCTTATCGTAATGCAACAGACATCATTAATGAGCATCATAGAAGATTGAGATACATATCTTAGCAGCTACATTTTTGAGAACTCCAATGTTCCTGCTTCATTTCAAGGGTCAGAAGTCTTACAAAGATGGTTACTGAGAGGCAAAGGATTCCTCTGGAACCACAGATGATGACTTCATAATGCAGCCCTCTGACTGAGGCCAAATGCAAACACAATGCAGCCTATTCTTCAACCTTGGCCTTTGTAGAGCAGATGAAAGGGCTGCTGAAGATGAGGGTTAGTGTGGAGGGGATGGGCAGCACAGTTCAGGCAGAATAAACCGTATAATCCTTACATGCTATGCCCTGCACAACGAGAGACAGCATAAGAACATTACCTCCTGCAGGATATACAGCTGCAGCACCAAGTGCAACAAGCTTGACAGAACTTAACTGACACTGGGGTTTCAATTATTCAGTTAGAGCAGTGTACGTCTGTTGTTTCACAAATTGCAAGCAGTCCCTGTCTGTTCCCAGAAACAAATACAGCTTTTCTTTATTTTTTTCTTCATTTTTTTGTTCCAATTGAATTAAGGTAAACATTTTCAACCATTTGAAGACTTTCTAGAATATGATGTTCCCACATTGAACAATAAGATGTTATGCTTTGCTGGGCATTAAGGCAAGAGTAGCATTTCCTTAGATATGATTGTATGACAGGACGATGTGTAGCTTAGTTCTTGTAACTGCAGTTACAATGACAGTTGATAATGTAAAATTGCAATACGTTTGCGAATGAGAACTATGAGAACTTGTATTTGCAATGAAGTGTCACAACTAGCATCTATATGCTGTCAGATTACTTAATCTGAACAATCAACATCCTTTCTCTCCCAGCACTCCAACCACCCCCAACCCCTCCCACTGTTGCATATATGCGCCCCTGCCACAATTCACTTCAGCTCTGAGGAAGAGTCATCTAGACTTGAAATGTTAGCTTGTTCTCTCTCCATGGATGTTGCCTGGCCCACTGTGATCTCCCACATTTTCTGTCTTCAGTGCAGTAACATAACCGATTCTTCAGGTGCTCAAACAATTAAAAATTAACCCTGGGTATCCATGATTCATAAAGTTTAATTTCAATACACCAGGAATGCTCAGTTCTGTTACATGGTGCTTCAAACAGGATTTTGAAATTTTTCGCTTTATATCTAAGTTCAGCAGTGTTTTCACTGTACTTCATCATCACTGTTTCCTTAACTGTTATCTAAATAGAAAAGCAAGTTGAATGTTACTTGTTTTAACCTGTGAGAAGCCAGATAAAAACAATAAGTCAAAAGTTACCATTTTACTTTGAACAATATTTAACTGATCTCCTTTCGTGTGACCATCTTTGCATGTGTGTTCCGAAATATCCCAGTGGCAGGTCCACTTGCTTCTTACACAGGAGTCACACCTAAACAGTAAATGTATGCACATATACACAAATTATTAAATCTCAACAACTACTAGGTTTCTGGTTAGCATACCTACTTCTAAATCTGAAGTTTTTAATTGCAAAATTAAATAAGAAACGCCCTATACAAAAACAAAATGTTGCAGATGCTGGAAATCCAAAAAAAAGAGAAACAGAAAATTCTGGAAATACTCAGCAGTTCATACAACTTAGTGAAGAGAGAAACACAACATGATGGTGTTTTATCTGAACAGTGAAAAGTTTGAACTGCAACAAGGTTTAGCAGGTACAGTGATCAGGAAATGGCTATGTAACTACTACATTGTCACTAACACCAAGATTGTTCAGTATGTTTCTTTAGAGAAAGAAATCTGACATCCTTACCTGGTCTAGTTTCTGTGTGACTCCACATCCAAAGCAATGTAAATGACTCTTACCTGCCCACTGAAATTGCCTAGTAAGTTACTCAGTTGCATATACAAAGATGGCTCACCACCATCTTCTTGAGGGCAATAAAATGGGAATAAATCCTGGGCTCAGTGACACATCCATGGAACCAAATTTCAAAAAAATCCTTACCAGGGCAACAAATGAAACAAGAAGCCATTACCTACCTTTTGGATCTTGAGCAACACGCACTCCCTGGCCTGCTCCCGTCATCATATTGACTTATTTTTCTTTGCTAATTAATTGGTTCCAAATGCATTGTGCTTTAGCTTTGCAATCCACTGTTGTCTACTGCTCTCCAATTTGGCTCACAGAGCTCATCCACTCCTACTTCTAGCATCAAATCACAAACTTAATTTTTTATTCATGCATGAGATGCAAGCATCTCGACCTAGACCCGTTTTTACTAGCAGCCCTAATTATCCTGTAGATGGTGATGGTGAGCTGCCTTCTTCAACTGCCGGAACCATTTACGTGGAGGGACATTCAGGGAGTGCCTTCCAGGATTTTAACACAGCAATGCTGAGGGAACAGTGACATGCTTTCAAGTGAGACAGTAGATGACAAAGCAATAACAATGCCACTGAACATCAAGTGGCGTTGATTAGATTTTTTCTTGTTGGAGACGCTCATTGCTTGGCACTTGTGTGGTGCACGAGTTCCTTGCCACTTATGAACCCGAGCCTGTATATTGTCTAGGTCATGTTGCATATGGGCACAGACTGCACAATCATCAGCAAATGTCCCCACTCCTGATCTCATCAAGCAAGCAAGATTATTGATGCAGTACCTGAAGATGGTTGGGTTTGTGACACTACCCCAAGGAACTCCTCCAGCTGAGATAACTGACCTCCAATAACTATCTTCTTTTGTGCTATGTACAACTCCAAAGAGGGGACGGTTTCCCTGATTCCCATTGTCTCAAGTTTTCCTAGGACTCCTTGTCATACTCTGTTAAATGCCACCTTGATTCAAACACAGTCACTCACGCCTTATCTCTGGAGTTCAGCCCTTTTGTCCCTTTTTGGATAAATGCTGTAATAAGATCAAGTAAAGGGTGGCCATAGTAGAACGCAAACTGATTATCAGTGAGCAGATTATTCCTTTGCAAGTGCCACTTGATAGCGCTGTCAACACTCTCACTTCCATCACTTTTATGATGATTGATAATTGATTTATAGGACTGGAATTGGCTAGGATGAATTTGTTCTGCCTTTTAATCCACAGGACATACTGGGGCAAATCTTTCACATTTTCAGGTAAATTCCAGTGTTGTGGCTATACTAGAACAGCTTAGATAAGTGCATGATTAATTCTAAAGCATGAATCTTAAGTGGTATTGCTGGAATGTTGTCAGGGCCCATAGCCTTTACAGGTGAATTTTGATGAGCGATAGCCATTTGCTGGTTCATTTCTCAGGGAAATGTCCTAACTAATCAGAGTCAACCTGCCCAAAATTTAAAGCAAGTCAGGCAGTTATCACTATTGGATCCATTCTCCATGGCAACACCTCCAGTAGAGTCCACTTGCCAACCAATATGCACTCTTTCATCTAATGCAGTATAAATATTGGTGCTCTCCTTCAATTGATATTCTTGTGAACTATCCTGATGAGTGCAAGGTAAAAAGCTTCAAAAAAATTGTGCCTTTTTTCAGTAATATACTACCAAATGACTGTTTAGAACTATTACCATGCAATTGTTATGGGCTGAGATTCTTAGTCAGTGCCTCTGTTATGTACTACCTTTTACGTCCAAGTCCTAATTTTTTTCAAGTATTCACATGTTCCATTGTCAACTCCCTCTCAATGTCAGCATTAACTATTCTCCTCCATACTATACTCCACTTGTTCATACGTTTTAAAAAGTGTTTAGTTTGTAGATAAAATATACTTAAGAAAAATGCAATTAATGAAGAAACTACATTGTCTGCATTCTTATATTTCCATGCAAACTTCTGTGATCTTTCTCCATTTTAGGACAGTGCTTAGTTGCTCTTTTGTTTGCATGGTCTTACAATGACAATGGAACAATTCAACAAACTAAATGCATTAAAGCACTAATTGGGGAAAGTACTTGCTTACATGATGTTATAAATCAGGATGGTACCCTAAAATGCTTGCACTTACTATTTTTATTTTAAATCTGATTTTCCATTTGGGTCTACAACATTATGTAGAAGTCGAGAGAAAACTTCCATCAACACACATTTTAAGACAATCTAGTTTTTAAAAACCTTAACTAATTTTGTGAATTCATTATCAAAGAAAAATTACTTACGGAATATTTGGAGACAGTGTCATGGCTGCATTACAGTCATAAAATGAGTAGTTGGTCCTTGTGAAATCTATTGTTTTTCCACCACTGACAATCTTCAGGTTCACCTCAATATCAATATAATCTACACAGTGGAAAATTCACAACGGTACCTTGTGAATACTTCTTCTAAAATGAGACTAGCATTTTAAAAAGAAACACACTGTATGTCACAAAGGAAAACAATTTGATGTCTTGCATTTTAAAGTGGGAAATTAATAAATCCATTATATTATGCAATTTTCTACCCAGTTGAAGATAAAAACCAATGAATATTTCTCTCAAAATCACCACCTTCGAATTCGTTTGGCTCTGAATTTCTCAAATATCAACATAATTAAGACCAAAACCTTCCTATAATAAATTCAAATAATGATGATTTAAAAGGAAAAATTGAGAAGTCTGGAAAACAGAATCAAAATATAAAATACTGGAAATTGACAGTGAGTGGATTAGAAAAAAGACAGGCCAGCAATCTGCTCAATCCCCTTTTCCTTTTCAGGACATTTTTCAATATTTTCTGTTTGCACTTTAATAACAACAGCCCTTGCACAGACACCAGATGACTAAACAAGTACACCAGTATAACATTATGTTTTCAACGTATTGTGCTATCAAGATATCAATATTTATTGCATGCTTGTTGGTATGGTATTTTTCTACAACATTCAGTTTTATCTAAACCAAATTTGATCACTTTTGTTTGTACCAAATCTCCTAAATATAATTTTCTTTTTCTGTTTAAGCTATCATTGTTCAGAAATATGGGGGTTGGTTGTTCCACTATCATAAAAAAGGTTTAGAGAAGCTTACCGAGTAATTCGTCTGCCTCAGTAAAGCAACACTCAATTTTTGTCTGGAATTCTGCCCCCAGTAGTAAAACAATGCTCCAAGCATATTTTTATACTTAAGATGCAAAAGCTATTTTCTGATAAACAAAAGATGACCAAAATTTCAAATGATGTTGCAAAAAACAAAGACTTTTTCCTTGCACATTAGATGCCATGACAGGAAAGTCTAACAAGGAAAGTCAACTTAAAACATTAGCCTGAATTCTATCATTATTTTGGTCAAAAATCATAACTTTTATATGAAAACTCACCTTGACCTGGAGGTGTAGCAGCTATTTGATTGATAGGTGGAGCCTCACAAAGAACATAACCTGTCGAATGTTTAAGACTAAATCCTTTAAAATTATTAACAGAACACTGTATTTGGTCTTGATCTGTTAAAGCAGGAAATGGCTCTATATTCAACTGCACCTGAATACATGAAAATGAAAATATAAATATGCAAAACAATTTTGTATTATAGACATCTCAAAATTCAAAACAATCAATTCTAAATGCCTTAAACGTTAATGTTATTTTCAAATAGCATTAACTTTACTGTACTGTCCAGAATCACATTTTGAAATCACAAGTTTGAAAGAAATTAAACCAAATTCTGATGAAGTAAATGAAATAAAATAATCAAGAATTTTGAGGCTTCAGTCCAACAGAATAGTCACGATAAATTTTGACTGTGCCTTCATAGTTGGGACCCACTTATTAGGATGATTGGCACAATTATCAGAAAGAATAGGAGCAATTACTGAATCTCAAAGTTAGTTATTTTTGGTAGTAATTTAAGAAATTTGGACCAACTCATTGAGAATTTAAGATATACATCCACATATCATCCATTGAGACAAAATCACAGAACTAATTGAGTCATACAGTCGTACAGCATGGAAACAGACCCTTTGATCCAACTTGTCTGCGCTGAGCAGACATCCCAATCTGACCTAGTCCCATTTGCCAACATTTGGCCCATTTCCTTCTAAACTCTTCCAATTCATATCCCCATCCAGATGCCTTTTAAATGTTGTAATTGTACCGGCCTCCACCACTTCCTCTGGCAGCTTGTTCCATACACTATCCACCCTCTGCATGAAAAAGTTACCCCTCAGGCCCTTTACAAATCTTTCCCCTCTCACTTTAAACCTATGCCATCTAGTTTTGGACTCCCCCACCTTAGGAAAAAGACCTTAAATATTCATTCTATCCATGCCCCTCATGATTTTATAAAATCTCTGTAAGGTCACCCCTCAGCCTCCGACTCTCTGGTGAAAATAGCCCCAGCCTATTCAGCCTCTCCTTATAGCTCAAACCCTCCCATTCTGGCAACTTCCTTGTAAAGCTTTTCTGCACCCTCTCATGTTTAAACACAATCTTTTCTTTAGATGGAGTGACCAGAATTGTACGCAGTATTCTAAAATGGCCTCTCCAATGTCCTGTACAGCCACAACATGACACTTAATGTCCTGACCAATGAAGGAACAATATTTTTTGAAATATTCATCTAACTTTAGAAACTGGAAACTACACTCAGTGAAGCATACCGGAGCTGGTGCATTTCGACTCATGTTCTGCGGGTCTGCATGAATCACTGTTGGGCACTGTTTGTTCAGACTCCACAACCAATGGTCTTTTTGGGCAGCTTTTGTACAGTGCATCTTCCTGGAGCAACTGATCAGATAGATTAAAGACGTCAAATGAATGAGAATACAGTCCTAGAACTTGCCTGGAATTACAAATAGTATTTGCTGTGCCATCCTACAAGCTTAGCATCATCTATGTTCTCCACCACATTGAAATCAATACTCGCTCTAACTTATTTGTTCAAAGGGTCTTGAAGTTATGGCACTCAGCTCCCTTCACCTTTCTTTTCACCAACATATTCAGGTCAAAATTAAAAGTTTAGCCTTTAACCACCATTTCCAAATTTATCTGCCTTTCTTTGCATCACAAGTCTTTCTCAAATTCATGAAGAAAAATTTACAGCCCATCAAACATTTTCTTTCAGAAACACAAGTCATTTTATTTTATTCCATGCAAATATATAGTTCTTAGATGAGAGGAAATTGTGGAAATCTATAATAAAACAAGAATAGACAGACAGCAAGCTCTAAAATACGGAATTCCAGTTACTTTTCATTCATTTGCAAGGGTTCCAGTAGTGCAGTGGTGGTGTTCCTACCTATGATGCAGATGGTCTGGATTCAAGTCAAAACTGCCCCAGACATGTGTCAGGACATGTCTAGACAGGCTGATTAAAAATATCTACAATTTGAGTCCTAACAGGAAACTGACATTAGATCTACTTTAAAAAGTAGAAATGAAAGTACACTGGTAACCTTCTCCAGTAAGCTACATTGGCTCTTCAGCCTAGACCTCAAAATGTAAGCAAGTGCCCTGTTCCCCATTGCTAAATGCTACTCCTTGATATATAAGCGAACATCACTGGCTGTCCGTTGATTCAAAGAAGAACAACGATGACAACTCAGTTCTTTGCTAGGAGAAACTCACTCATCTCATCTACCATTTGCTGCAGAAAAAGAAAAGAAAAATCTAACTTTTGAATAGTTGAGAAACAGGATGTTTTACTGAAGTTTTTGCTGCTTTATTTATTTGCCTCTCCAAAGAATGAAATTTGGGATACAACTTAGAAGTAACAACTATTAGTTGAGAACTTGGAAAGAACTTACCCCTTCTCAGATTTTATACAAAATATAGAAATGATTCTTAACAGATTTGTTAAATCTATGATGTCCTTGAAAAGAGAACTGGATACACACACACGCACACACACGAAGGAGTAAGAAAGGGAATAACAAGGTATAGATCTGGATGAACACAGAGCAGGAAAGCTGACGTTTCGGGTCTAGACCCTAAACGTCAGCTTCCTGCTCCTCTGAGGCTGCTTGGCCTGCTGTGTTCATCCAGCTCTATATCTTGTTATCTCAGATTCTCCAGCATCGGCAGTTCCTACTACCTCAGTAAGAAAGGGGAGTTTGGATATAGCAAGTAGTTCTGAAGGTGATTGGGTTAATTGATTCATTTATTGACGGGTAGATAGAAAATAAAGAGGGAAACTGGTGTTAGGCATGGAAATCTAGGTCCACGATTCCCAGAGTTTCACAAAAGTTAAAAATGTGACCAAAGTTTGCAAAATCCTCAGTTTACCTGTTGGATAAATCCAAATTAACAGAAAACACAAAGCAGATTTCAGTACTTAATAAGAAAATTTACTCATTACCAGTAAATAGACTTTATTCACATGTAATCAACTATCAACATCAGCACATAACTCCTTGTTAAAAAGCTCTAACCCTTTTAAACACTCCCAGCCCCAAATACACGCACACGGTCAAAAATAAATTATGGGAGATTGGAAAAAACTGGAAAAACAGTTGAACAGCATCAGTCTGAGATTGAAGGAGTGCTCTTTTTGTTTCTCAAAGCCCTTCAGTTATCTGACCTTTTCCTTCAGATTCTCTCACTTCTTCACAGGAGGCACAGCACGAGTGGTCCATGAATGATAAAGTCTCTGACTGGTTGTTTAAAAGCAACAGCTGACAGTAACTGGCTGGAGACAATAAATTGGCTTTCTTCAGCTGTTAGGTATTTTATTTGGAAAGAGCGCACCTGCCCTTTTAGCAGTCTGAAGTCTTCTGCCAGTACCTTTTACATATACAAACATGTTCAGCTACCCACAAGCCAATCAGATAGTTCTGTCAGGCTGATGGCCATAGATATCCACAACTGGTCAAAATAAACTACACTGCAACCTGTCAACAGCTAAATCTCACTTTCCATACACCCCAGGCACTAGCCCGACTATAGCTTCCCCCACTGCTTGAGCAAAGCTGCAGCGTAAATGCGATTTACGTGTTTCAGTAACTTGCTTTTTAGAAGTGCAGCAAACCCTTCCGACAATCCTTGGTTTTAAAACTGTACTTTTTTTGTTTTCATCAACAGAAAACAGAAAAATAAAAAGATGCAGTCTTTATACAGGTCAAAGTGATGTGTGGAAGGAGCTGCAAGGCTGAGCATTTAATAAAGTTCATTCACAAAGAAAGGTATCTGCTTTCTGTTTCAGATCCAAATTGACAAGGATTATCAAGAAATAATGCTTCAGAAGGTGACTGGCAATTATAAGAAATCAAAATAGAAAATGCTGAAAAACAGAATAGGTAATTTGGTAACTGAAAACAATGAGTTAATGCCTCACATTTTGGGAATATGTGCTACTCGTTAGGTCTTTCCTACCCCTGGCAGCTTGAACATAATGAAGATATATGATGTGAACGGGAAGATGTGTTTCACTATTTCAGGTCGCATTTACACATCCGAACTGTAAATTATTACTTAGAAATTACAGTAAAACAGATAATTTTGTGTTGGCATTTAACCTCCACATAACAGCATTCTCCTACTTCTGCAAGAAATCCATAATATATGCAATTGACAGAATCAAGACTAACCGCTTCCATCATTTCACTGGATGTCTAATCGAAAAGATTGAATGCTGCTAATATTATCTTGAAAGCATCACTCAACAACTTCCAAAAAGCAAAACTTACATTCCTTCTATTACACACCAACCACAGTAAGGATCTCTAGATGCAATGCAAGAATTGCAACTTTTGTAGCTGTTGCATTCCTCTACCGGCAGACGAGTGATCTGAAATGTAAGTATTCAACAAGAAACAAATGAAATTCTGCACATTCTGCAATGTAGAAATTGTTATACAGAATTACCATTCATTGCAACATCTCAAAACCATCTTTAACTTTATTTTGCATCAATCTATACCCTAGTAGCGAATAGCAACTTGGAAAGAATCATATTTTACACAGTTAATAAATGTAGGCAGTTTCTCCTCATATTTGATTTGATCTGTTGAAAGCAAGATACACTCTACAACACACAGCCTGTGTGCTAAGAGAACAGTACATTACATGCTGTGCCGATACCAATCATAAATCGTCTGCTAGGAGGTTCATGAGATTTCATCTCCCTCATACTGTGTCAATAGCCTAAATCACTTGGGACATATGGAGTAACCAATCAGGGCTTGAGGAATTCTATTAAAACTGTATCATATTGGGGTTCTTCTTATTGGTAGTGCACTGAGTTTCTTATTTCTCTCGCTGACGGCTTCACACTGAATATGTCCTGTGACACTTGAAACAGACCGACACCATGATTCAATTTTCAAACATTTTTGTTTTTGGAACAAAAGTGTGGATCAAATAAAAATATTAGAAGATAAAACTAAATATTACCTTTTTCTCAGTCATGACGTACAGGTGGTCCCTTTTTGCATTAAAAATAAGGTCACTGTTCACCTTGCTGTTTGGAGTCATATATACAGTCTGATAGTCATCAGTTTCATTGTCCAGGAATACCTATCGGATAGTGAACATTTACAACTGGTGTATAAGAAATGAGCTCAGAACAACACTACATACATAGTTATTTACCATTCATAAAAGGATACCTCTTAATTTCTGGGCTCTTTATTGTACATATTGCTTCATGATTAAAGAAATATATTTTCTATTGATACAACAACTTCAGTTCTGATAAAATGTAATCCTTTTACATACTGTGACAATGTTCATTCTATTTCCATGTTTATCAACTATCGTGTTTAAATTTATAGCAACTTCCTTCAATTTTAAAATTACTGATCATCTTGAAATTTTGGCTCAATATACCATCACTGTGTTACATACTTTAACATATTATATTCTGAATTCTTTGAGGTATCGCCCATTATCAAGCTCCAAACTTCCAACAGACTTTGCCACCATACACTTCAGGTCACTCCAGCTATATAGTTGTTATTGAACCTATCACCTGGCCGAGGTATCCAGGTTCAGTTTCCAACTGCTCCAGATGTGTGTAATGTCTTCTTCAAACAGGTTGATTAGAAAATATCTCGCCTGAGAAATTACTACAGTGATATTCAATGGCCAACATGACTGACTTCAAACAACCACAATCATTTTGCTTTGTGCCAGTAAAGGAGCACAATCAATGCGAGGGGAGACTTTGTCTGAGTGAGATAAGGGCTAGGTGAGTATAGCTGAGAAGTAAACTCTCTAGAGCTATGGGTGATTTGGAGAGGACAAAAGGAGCAGATTGAATTCCTATTTGTAGTAGAGTGACATGGTTTGACACGAGTGCAGGGAAACAGGCTGATTGACAAGTAGGATCAGCGAATATTTCTAATCTTTACAGTTAAAGCAAGGTCTTCAGTTTGTGTTTAGGTCTCTAGTCTTTTTTTTGATTTTCTTTTCTTAATAATAGCTTGTTAAGTATAAGATTGATACTGGTGTTAAGTTTCATGAGAAAAAAATACAATAAAATGTAAAGAGCAGAGAACCTAGAGTAATTAATTAAAAAATACACAGTAAAAGGCAGGACAGGTGATGTGTTACTGCTGCTGCATCTTAGGGCTGCTGATACTAAGGTGTTGCAGGGCGAACACATCTGTAGCAAGTGTTTGCAGCTCGAGGAACTTTGGCACTGAGGAGTTGGAGTTCAAACTGATGACAGTGTACCATATCAGCGTGAGGGAAAATTACTTGGTCACTTTGAGACAATCATATCCCTCCGTCTAAGTAACTAAAATATGGTCTGTAATCAGGGACAGGTGGATATGGGGACTCAGAGGGTTGTATTTAAGGGCCTTTAGCCTCTGCAACTGTCCAATAGCTACAAGGTTCTTGCAAGCTGTGTGGATAAGACTGGAGATTGCAGGGAGGAGGAGCAAACTGACTATGGCACCTCAATACAAGGTGCCATTAGGAATGTAGCTATAAGGAACAGCATAACCAGAGGGAAATGCTGTTCTCTGCACCAGTGAGTGCAAGTCCAGAAGACAGTGTTGCCTGCAGGATTAAGGATATCTTCTCAGAGCAGGAAAGGAACTTGGAAAGGGAGAGGAGAAATCTATTATCACTATCCACGTTGGTACTAATGATGTTGATAGAACCAGAAAGGTGTTTCTGGTAAGGAAGTTTGAACAGTTAAGACAAACTAAAAAGTAAAACCTCCAAAGTAACAGTCTCTGGATTCATTCCTGAGCCAGGAGAAAACTGGTATAAAGGTAAATTACTGAGATTACTAGTTTTCTTTTGCTCTTCTAATTTTTGGTTCTGAACAGCAGCTTTTTTTTAAAAAAACGAGAAGGGAACAAAAGACAGAAGTCTGCTGTTGGGAAATGGCCTGGAAAGATGATGCAGGTTAATTGCTGCTCTAAGAACAACATAAATGAACCAGATGCTCAGGGACTGGCAGCTGGTTAGATGTTGAAATGGTCAAACAAGGGAGGACCAGTGCTGGTCAGCCAACCACAGAGAATGTTGGAAAAAAAAGACAAAAAGTGAACTGGCTCTGACTGTGTTTTGGGCAGGAGGCAGTTTTGTTTTGGAAGCTTCCAGACTGGGGCAATCTGACCCCACCACCAAAGACATTTTTCCCTCCCCACCCTTATCTGCTTTCCGGAGGGACCACTCTCTCGGTGACTCCCTTGTCCGCTCCACACTCCCCTCCAGCCCTACCACACCTGGTACTTTTCCCTGCAACCGCAGGAAGTGCTACACCTGCCCCTACACCCCACCCCTCATCCCCATCCCAGGCCCCGAGAAGACCTTACACATCAAGCAGATGTTCACCTGCACATCTGCTAATGTGGTATATTGTATCCGCTGTTCCAGATGTGGCCTCCTCTACATCGGGGAAACCAAGCGGAGGCTTGGGGACCATTTTGTGGAACACCTATGTTCGGTTCGCAAGAAACTGCACCTCCCAGTCGCGAACCATTTCAACTCCCCCTCCCACTCCTTAGATGACATGTCCATCCTGGGCCTCCTGCAGTGCCACAACAATGTCACCTGAAGGTTGCAGAACAGCACGTCATATTTCGCTTGGGAACCCTGCAGCCCAATGGTATCAATGTAGACTTCACAAGCTTCAAAATCTCCCCTCCCACTACCGCATCCCAAAACCAGCCCAGCTCGTCCCTGCCTCCCTAACTTGTCCTTCCTCCCACCTATCCCCTCCTCCCACCTCAAGCCCCAAACCCATCTCCTACCTACTAGCCTCATCCTGCTCCTTTGATCTGTCCGTCCTCCCTGGACTGACCTAAGTCCCCACCTACACTCACCTTTACTGGCTCCACCCCCGCCTCTTTGACCTGTCTGTCTCCTCTCCACCTATCTTCTCCTGTATCCATCTTCTATCCGCCTCCCCCTCTCTCCCTATTTATTTCAGAATCCCCTTCCCCTCCCCCATTTCTGAAGAAGGGTCTAGGCCCGAAACATCAGCTTTCCTGCTCCTCTGATGCTGCTTGGCCTGCTGTGTTCATCCAGCTCTACACCTTCTTATCTCAGACTGGGGCTGTTGTTTGGTTTTAGCTCTCTCAAGTTATTTTGCAGTTACTAATTTCTTGGACGTTCTAAGAAATGAGTCCCAGTCAGTAAGAAATAAATAAGTCTCCAGAAGTCTGTGGAAGCTGTTTGCTTTGACTGGTGACTTTGGAATCTAAACAAAATATATAGTCTAAAAAACTCATCATCCAAGAATTTCATTAAGGCCTGGTACTCATTGTTGAAATAGTTAATCAAACTGGCAAATTACAGCTCTTTCATTTTCTTTTAATTTATACCTAAACTGTGTCTGTCTGTCAGTCAGTATTGTAAGTAGGGTTTTACGATTAAAGAAGATTGGGCTCAGATCATAGATACTAAAGTTTCATCCTTAATAACAAATTGTTAATTTTTGTTCATGTTGTAAAATTGTTGCCCAAGATCTGTTATTTGTCAAATCTGGTTAGGAACAACTGAGCAATTTTGAGGGTCACTGAACGTTTTAATTTCACTGTGTTGTGAATCCTGGGACAGTAAGGCTGATTTGGCTCGCTATCCATGTGTCATAACATAATAAAGTGAAGAAGTTAACCGTATGGCTCAAAGATTAGTGTGGATGGGATTGGTTTCAGTTCATGGGTCACTGAAGCCAATTCTGGGGAGGAAAGGGGCCATTCCAGTGGGACGAGCTTCACTGAAAATGTTCTGGGAGCAGTGTCGTGACAAAAGCTATAGAGACGGCTTTAAACTAATTAATGGAATGGGTGCTGGTTTGCAAGAGGGGAAAGTTTAGGCTTACAAATCAAAAAGAAATGGCGGCATGAGAGGGCAGCTATTTGGTTAATGACACCCAGAGTGGGATGGGAAAGGACAGAGATAACAAGACATAAAAATACAGCAGCAAAATAATATTAAAGGGGAAAAATGGGGAAAAGCCAAAATTAACGGTTCTTTGCTTGACTATACATAATATTCAGTACAAAATAAATTAATTCATGGCACAAATACAGCTTAAATGACATGATCTTATAGCCACTACAGGGAGATGATTAAAAGGTGACCAAAGTTCGTAACTAAATATTCAAGGGTATGTAACTTTCTGGAAGAACAGGCAAGAAGGAAAAGGCAGTGGGTAGCTTTGTTAGTACAGAATGGAATAAGTAGATAGCACAAAATGATCTTGGATCCAAAGATGGAGGGAAGAAATAACAAGGGGAAGGAGACGCTGTTGAGTGTAGTCTAAAAGGTCCTCTAACAGTAGCTATACTCTGGGACAGATGATAATCAGCAGATAATAACAACATGTTAAAAAAACATGTTATAGGGAGAAGGCAGGAAAGTAGAGTTGAGGATTATCAGCCATGGTCTTACTTGGTAGGCCAAGTGGCCTATTTCTGCTCCTACGTCTTATGCATGATTCTAAACAGTGGAAAGTTTTCCCCAAATCCCTTTGACTCCAGTTTTGCGAATGCCCTTTGATGCTGTAGGCAGTCAAAAGCTGCTTTGATTTAAAGAGCAATCATTGCCATCACCTCTGAAGTTCAGCATTTATGTCCAAGATTGTAGTGAGGTCAGAAGCCAAGTGGTCCTGGCAGGACACAATCTGAGCATCAGTCAGGTTATCGCTGAGTAAGTGACACTTGACAGACTGTCAACAACATCTTCCATCACTTTCTCATTAAAAATAGAATGCTGCTTCATAAAGTCTTACCTTATGAATTTCTCCTTTTATGTTGCCTAAAAAGCCAATTGTGTGGTCATTCTCCACGGTCACAGCTATTGCTGATAAATTGGTATCATAATGTTGCAGAGGTGTAGCAGCAATACCTTCTCTACTTGCAATGGGATATGGAAGGTGTTCACCACTGCAAGGATATGCCTTTGCTTGTCCCTGGGATAGCAGAAAATCAATTTTCATAAATCAATAAGATTAATAAAAAATTCAGGTCAGTACCAACAATTATGAACAATGCGAGGGATACGAGGGATAACTCCCACGCTTTTCTTCGAAAATGTGCCATAGGATCTTTTATATCTGCCAACAGGCTTGAGCCTCAATTTAACATCTTATCTGAAAAACATCAGTTCCAACCACCATGCAGCAGTCCACTGCAGTACTGCACCTGAATGTCAGCATTGATTTTTATTCTCTCATCCTGGAGTGTGATTAAACCCCAATCTTATGACTCGGGGTGAAGGTGGGGGGTGGGGGGAGGGGGGCAAGAATGTTACAAATTGAATCACAGCTGACACTCATTATGAATGTGATGTGTGACAGTGGATATATTACTTCTGCACTCCCCCATTATTTGCTGCTGGACAGATGGTTTTTTTATCCAAGCCACAGCATGCTTGAAAAATCAGACTGGATCAATGACTGTTGAATAAGCCTGGGTAATCTAGTAGAGTAGAATTTGAAGCATATCCCAATACACCTGTGCAATGTCCCAGTCAGAATGCTTCTTAAACCATGTGTCTAAATTTGGTCAAAGAAGTCAGTCAAGCTCTAAGGTGTAGAGAAAAGTAAAAATACTAATGTAAACAGGACAAGACTTTGTGTACTAGACTCCACAGGCTTGTATACTATTTTGTGAGTCTTCTGTCAGTCATTCATTTCAAACCCCATTTCTCCAAAACCCTTAAGTTCATTTGCCCAAATAATCAGCTACCTACTTTATGAATACATCAACTGCTTCCACATCAATTTCTTTCAAAAATGTCACAATTAAGAATCTTCAAAACCTTTTTATTCTGACATTTTATCTAGATTTGTATTCAAATCTACTGGAGTGGGGGGAGGTAAGTGAGGAGATAGGTGTAGGAAGACAGGGTGGCTTTCAGATCTTTTGAGGATTCTAATCATTTCAATGATTAGAAAATGAAAATCACTGTTCTATGTAGAGAATAATTTCTAGAAGGATTGACTGCTGCCAGAAGAATATTAATTTCTGGAAGATTTTTCTCTCATCTATTTGCATAGGATTATACTGTCTTCATAAGGCAATGACCTTCTTAGAAGATGTAGTTCCCAGAAATTTGGATAAAGAAATAAGTGGGGCCAAGAAAAATGTTCTCCAACTCCACAGACATAATAGATCATGAATTTTTCCCTCCAAATTGCATTCCCTTATTTTGAGATTTCTGCACCAATAGGAACAACGGTTTTTTATTTATATTTCCAATTCCCATCATTCTTACAATCATCTCAGTGAGAATATCCCTTAACTACATCAACCACAGGTTATATAAACCATGTTTTTCCAATCACTCCTAATAGGCCAAAGTCTTCCTATCATCAGGGTGAATCATTGCTGGGTTCTGAAGCCCATTATAACTTCAATGTTTCGTTATCTAAATTATTATTTAAATGTGTGATATTAATTTTGTGCTTCCAAACTGTACTGTACTGATAGTTTGTAATGCCTCATAGGATCTTTAAGATGCCAAACTATTGGAGCAGACAAAAAATAGCATCTATTAGACACTGATCAGATTTTGAACTGCGAGTTAGTTTTTAAATATTCAGTGGGGTCTCCACATCTCTGTTTCTATTCCACTAGAGCCTCCCTCATCATAATTCTTACACCCAAGGTGTACTGCCTTACAGTTTGCTTCCTCAATCTATCTGCTTCTTTTTGCTTATGACCTACAGCTAATTGTTTCCCCACTGTGGACATTTCCTGGACTGCTCAAAGTCAGAAATATATTGACCTAAGTCATTGGAAAAATTCATACCTCATATGGCAAAAGGAAGTGAATAACAGGGGTCGATAACAATGTTTTAAATTAACAGGTCAAACGCTCACAAGTCCTTGGGTCAAAAACTTGGACCAGATGCCAGGATATGCCTCATACAAAACATGATAAACATGTGAAATGAACTTCTCAGTAACAATGTGAAGCAATGATGTGGAGGTGACAGTGTTGGACTGGGGTAGACAAGGTCAAAAATCGTACGACACCAGGTTATAGTCCAACAAGTTTATTTGAAAACACAAGCTTTTTTAGCTCTGCTCCTTCCTCAGGTGTAGTGTAGAAGAGGAGGTATACCAACCCAGAACTTATAAGCAGAAAGGTAACAAATGGCTCACTGACCGCCTCCTGTTGAATCTTTAATCAGTTGGAAAGGAGACGCAGGTTTCTATTGATTAAAATGCAAATCCCAGAACTTCTCTCAAGTCATTGCCCTGAGATAATTAAAGGTTTTAATAGGTGACAACAGGTGACATCTCAGGTCAGACAATGCATTTTAGGTGTGAGGCCTTGTTTAGAATCTGTCTGTGTTTTAAACTGGAGTCAGGCATTTTTTTTGAACAAAATAGAATGTATCTGTGAATACGCAGACATCTTTGATGAAATGATTCACCTCACAGATTTATATATATGTGCATACATGCATGCCAGCGCAAGAGCAGGAGTGCGTGAAAGCGAGAGCGCCCAAGTGTAAGCGTGCATGTGTGTGCACGAGTGTGTGTGTGTGTGCATGAGTGTGTGTGTGTGCACGAGTGTGTGTGTGTGTGCATGAGTGTGTGAGTGTGAGTGTCAGTGTGAGAGTATACAGTGTGGTGGGGGCACCTGTAGCACGACATGAATGAAAGGTCACGTTTGAGGCTGGCGTCAGCCTCTGCACAGCGATTTTGTGTTGTTGCGTATCTTGAAATCCGCTTTGGAGGACACTTACCAGAAAATCGGAGGCTGAATGCCCTTGACTGCTGAAGTGTTCCCCCACTGGGAGGGAACACCCCTGTCTGGCAATTGTTGCATGATGTCCATTCACCTGTTGTCTCAGCGTCTACATGGTCTTGCCAATGTACCATACCTCGGGGCATCCTTGCCTGCAGCATATGAGATAGAAAACACTTGCCGAGTCACATGAGTATCTGCCATGTGTGTGGTGTGTGGTGGGTGGTGTACCCACATGTGACGTTAGTGTCCGTGTCAAAGCTCTGACATCTTGCAGAGATTGCCATGGCAGGGTTGTGTGGTGTTGTAGTCGATGTTGTCCTGAAGGCTGGGCAGTTTGCTGCGAACAATGATCTGTTTAAGGTTTGGTGGTCATTTGAAGGCAAGGACTGGAGGCGTAGGTGGTGAGGTGCTCATTGTCATTAATAATGTGTTGAAGGCTGTGAAAAACACGGCATCAATTTTCCACTTCAGGTAAGTACTGGACGACGAAGGATACCGTATCGGTCGTATCCTGTGTCTGTCTTCTGAACAGGTCATTTTGGTTTTTCGCTGTGGAACGTCAGAACTGGCAATCAATGAGTTGAGCATCGTATCCCGTTCTCATGAGGGATTTGCATTTTCAGGGCATTGCATTTTAATCAATAGAAACCGGTGTCTCCTTTCTAACTGATTACAGATTCAACAGAAGGTGGTCAGCAAGCCATTGTTACCTTTCTGCTTATAAATTCCGTGTCGGTATACCTCCTCTTCTACACTACACCTGAGGAAGGAGCAGAGTTGCGAAAGCTTGGCTTTTCAAACAACCCTGTTGGACTATAACCTGGTGTCGTGTGATTTTTGACAATGTGAAGCAAAACTCTGGAATAATTTCAGAAACTGGGTTGGATGCTCCAGTTGGCTAGCAGGATGTAACTAACAATTTGTTCAGAATAATGAGATAAAATAGCCCGAATGGACTTTCTCCCTTACACTGTCAAACAGAGTCATTTATAGCACCGGCAAAGTAGCCTCTTTCTGTCAAATCTATGTTGGTCATCCTCGGAGCAATCCAGTTAGTTCCTTTTCACCTGTCTGGCCCCTGTAGCCTTGTAGGTTTGTTTCCTTTAAAAGCCCATCCATCTTTTTTTGAAATCATGGATTGTTTCTGCTTCAACCTACTGCATTAGCAGAGTGTTTCTGGTCATTACTGTTCACTGTGCAAGATAATACTTCATCACATCCCCACACTGCATCTCGCATTCAAAACATTAGTACAAGTATTAGGGAATACAGATCTATCAACCAAATGAAAGAGTTTTAATTTGTCTACCACACCCTAACATATCATAATCTTGATTTATTTTATATCACCTCACAACCCTGTATCGTCTGAGAAGAACAAATACAAGCTTTCCCCTCATTATTCAACATGGAGCTGGAGGAACACAGCAGGCCAGGCAGCAACAGAGGAGCAGGAAAGTTGACATTTCGGGTTGGGACCCTTCTTCAGAAATGGGATTGGGGTAGGGGGGAAGGGAGCTCAGAAATAAATAGATTGGAGGGGTGGGGCTGGGGAAGGTAGGTGGGATGGTGATAGGTGAGTGCAGGTAGGGAGTGGTGGGGATTGGTCAGTGGGATGGGTGGGGTATGGGTGGGAGAGAAGATGGACAGGTTGTGTCAGGTCTAGGAGGCGGGGATGAGAGGGAGGGTTGGACATGGGATGAGGCCGGGGTGGGGTGGGGAGATTTTAAAACTGGTAAAATCCACATTTAGGTAATTGGGTTGTAGACTCCTGAGGCGAAATATTGGGTGCTGCTCCCCCAGTTTGCAGGTGGTGTCATTGTGACATTGGAGGAGGCCCAGGATGGACATGTCATCCAGGGAGTGGGAGTGGGAGGGGGAGTTAAAATGGTTTGCAACCGGAAGGTGTTGTCGATTGTCACAAACAGAGCGCAGGTGCTCTTGGTCTCTGAGCCTCCGCTACATTGGTGAGACCAAGCGGTTCCTCCAGCTCCATGTGTGTTATCTCTGACTCCAGCATCTGCAGTTCTTACTATCTCTGAGTGAGTTACTTTCCCCTCATTAGCATTCTCACAAAGCTTACCTCAGGTCTGTGATCTAATTCAACATAATAAGATAGATACATTAAAAAAAAACTGTTTTCTGCAAGCAAGTAATGTTTACCTCGTGTGGTATACAATACCACCTAAACTGTAGGATTGAACATAAAATCTTTTTTCCTATTCTCTAAAGTAAGGTAGAAAATCAATTCTCATAACCAAGTTCAGCTGTACAGATAAATAGTCTTCTTGGTATAATTCAGACATTCATTCACAGCAGATGCACTAAGATATTGTGAACACTGCCTTCCTCAAATCTATTTTGTGGAGTTGCAGTACACAACACAATCACAGGAATGATGCATGGCTAAGATAGGGAGGAGAGAAAGAAGAATAGAAAACCAGCACTAAATGATCCAACACAAGAGTTTGCTTCTATAAATAAATCAAAATAAAGGCTATGAGGACAAATAAGCTGGTTCCTTTTCCAAATATAAAACATTTTCTTCAAAATAATTCAAAACCCTTTCTACATAATTATCTCTTAACCCATTTATAATTTCTAATTCCAATGCATAAACCACGGCACAGTTTTTACATTTACACGAAAAATATTCCAGTTCACTTTTTCTACTTAGCCATATTCTTTCATAAGCAATGTCCTTATACCTTGTATCCTCATCACCATGAAGCTCCCACCTTCGTGACCTTGCCCCTTACCTGAGGAGTAGTGACCCTCAGGTTAAACCATCACCAGCCATCTCTCTCTAACGAGAGTGTAGCCCTATGGTCCTCTGGACTAGGATTTTACCTTTAAATTTTGCACATGCAAAAACGATGGGAGGGGAGGCAAGTGGTATTATCGCTGGACTACTATTCCAGAGATCCAGGTAATGTTCTGGGGACCTGGATTTGAATCCTGCCATGGCAGATGGTGGAATTTAAATCCAATAAAAATCTGGAATTATTCATCTAATGATGACTATGAATGCAAGGACAACTGTTGTGAAAATCCATCTGGTTCACTAACGTCCTTTATGGAAGGAAATTGCCATCCTTACCTGGTTTGGTCTCCATGTGACTCCAGACCCACAGCAATGTGGTTGACTTTCAACTGCCCTCTGGGCAATTAGGGATGGGCAATAAATGCTGGCCTTGCAGCGATGCCCTCATCCATAAATGAATTTTTAAAAGTGGACATATATTAAAGAATGCGATTCTTCAGAATGGAGACAATATGGGGAATTCAAACTGAAACATATATAAGGATTAAATGGCATCTCTCCAGAGGAAATTTGGAAGTATAGATTTTATCAGTGTCCTAATGCTTCAAAAGAACACATTCTAGTTTCCTATTCAGTTTTAATACTTGTTCTTCATTGCAGCCAAATACAGCACATTGGCAAAAAGTCGACTTTGCTATAATCTGCAAACCATGAATTTCCCATTAACAATCTGGCTCCAGACAGAATAGCTGATGCTTGAAGCATCCTGTATATGGAGCCCAAAACTGAATGCTCATCACTGGAATGCCTTTTTTTTGAAAAGCCTAGTGGAAGCACAAATATGTGGTCAAAAAAAAGTGCCAAAATATCTTCACATTAGACTCAAAAAGTGAAGTGCTCCTATTACAAATTGGGGCACTTGAGAGAGTCCCAAGTGTTTGAAGACTGCTAATTCAATTTCATTATACAGTTTATGAAATCATACTTAAAAACATACAAATAACATCCTTAGGACAGTAAGCATATCTACCTTATTCAAATCCTTAGGACAATTGTGCGAACCATCAGATTTGTATGGATTATAAATGATTTCATTTTTCTCTTTCATCTCTTTGCTACTATAGCAGATTTCTCTATATTCTTCAATCTTTTCATTTATCTGCTTCAAGGAGAACATGCAGAAAGCAGACTTATCGGATGAGGTTGTTTTTAGGTTACCTCTGTTAAACACAGCAAATAGTACTTTATCCTGTGAAGTTACAGTCCCATATAAACCTGATCTGTTCATATGCTGAGCAAGTTTTTCTCCAGGATGACTAATATAAGCAGCCTGCACGAGATTACAATCATCACATTTCAAGACCATTTCAATATAAGAAAAGTAAAAGACATCAGAAATGCAAATCCGTGATATGTAAGTTGTAGGTTCCTCTTGCGCTCCATCCGTTCGAGAAAAAAGGAAATAAACAAAGTTCCCATCTTCAAAAGAAAATTTAAAATCATGTCGATATTGTAGATGAGAATCTGGTTTCACAGCTGAAGAATCTTGAACAAGCTCAAAAAGGTGGCCCTGTTCATTTTCAGAGAGTGTTCTGGTGCTTACTATTGCATTTGCGTATGTTTCAAAACTTTTTCCAACAAACATCACTGGTTTGAGTTCATTTTTTGTGTTATTCATGAGAGTTATAAGGCCCACAGTTGATTGATTACTTGCAACGAAAGTAGCTTCTCCACCATTCACATTTTCATATTCGATTGCACTGATGTCATTCAGCTGCCTTAATGAGCAGATTCCCTTAAATATATTTCCACATATTACGAGTCTCTTCCTATCTTTGTCTATTAAAAGGAGTTTATTGTAATTCTGAGTTGGTACTGCATTTGAGCAGGTTGAAGTCTTTATTGGTGGGACACACTTCGGATGATCACGTTCTGGACCAGTTGCTGCTTTCTTTTCCTCTTGGAGGTCTGGTGTTAGTTGATAGAGGAAATTCACTGCCCCAACATACACTTGCTCAGTAGTATCATCAATGGCCAAATGTAGCAGGTTTGTGGCACTGGTAAATTCATCATATCCGTCAGCTCCAGGTTTAAAGCCTAAACAAAAGGCTGCGAGCGCACAGAACATCCAAGCCCAAGGTGACATTTCCAAAACCAAACTGCAAAAACACAAGGTTTTTAATATAAATGAATTGTTGAATGCATCAAATAAAAGAAAACATGATCATGGCCTTGCAAACATCTTATTTTGAGGTGCTATATAAAAATAAATATAGAAATCAAATATCTCAGCTCTTGGAGCCCACTCATTCCCAAATATTATCACCCTGAACTATTTATTTTAAATACTCTTGCCCCAAATGATTGCATGTAAAACATCAATGCACTTCCTATAAAGACATTTCCAACATTCTGACTTACTGATCTCCTTTTCTGCATTGCCTAATCAAACTGGCTTTGTTTCTGAGCACAATCTTCCAAACGAATCACAAATAGTCTACACAAGGTAAATGTAAATTACTTTAACTTACAACCAAATGACTCTGCAGTTTATTTTCTCTAATCTCTTCCCAATGACTTTAGCAATCTATTTTAAAGCCATTTGTTAATCTCTCATTTGCTTTGCTTTTTCCTTTTTTTTATTAGTCTTTTGATGCTCTTTTCATGAATTCTATAATCCTCTGAATCTTAGGCTTGCCACTTTTTTTGGCAGCTTTAATAAGCCTCATTCTCATCTGTAATACAATCTTAACCTCCTATTTATTCACAATTTCACCACTTATTTCTGCGGGTTTTTGTTGCTCAAATGAACATACATTTGTTGTAAATTATGAGTTGTTCAGATTTAAGATGCTAGACTTAATATTCTTTCATATTATGATCACTCTTACCCAGAGACACCTTTAATACAACATACTTAAACCCTTTCTCATTTCTTCATATTAGATTGAGATTATCCTGATCTCTATTTGGTTCTTCAAAATACTGATTTAGAAAACTAAAATAAGACAAAGAACTGTGGATGCCGGAAATATGAAACAACCAAAAACAGAAATTGCTGGAGAAACTCAGCAGTCTAGCAGGATCTGCAAAGGGAATACAGAACTTCTTCAGTTCTCAAGGAGGGTCACGGGACTCAAAATGTGAACCAGATCCTGCCAGACCTGTTAAATTTCCCTAGCAATTTCTGATTTGATTGATTTAGAGAACCACATTGTAGACTTCCATGAACTTGCCTTCAAACTTCTTGAAAATTGCTGCTCAGTCCATGTCAAAATTAATGTCCTTCATGATAATTAGATTAACCTTTTGTGCTTCTCCAATTTCTTGATTTGCATACTTAGCTATATGCTAATACTTTTAGGGGACCTTTAGACAACACCCACTAATGCTTTTTGCACTTTGGTTTTTTTAAGTTTAATTTATTACTTTTATTTCTTGACTTTCTGAGTTATATTTTTTCTCACTAATATCTGCATCCCATCTTTTATCAGGTTACCCCACCAACCATCATCACTAACACCACCTACTTTTTCTCATTTTACCTATTTCTTTCAAATGTTACATATCCTGGAATAGTTAGCTCCCAACTTCGGTCCATTTGCAAACATGTTTCTGTAACGGCTATTAGATTAAACCTATTAAGTTCCATCTGCAATGCTGCAAGCCAAATTCATAATATATCAAAAAGAAAGGAACGTAAGAGTGGGTTGGCTCCCAATTTTCCTGTTCTTATTGGAATGTCCAAAACACTGGCAGAATAAAACAGGAACAATGCAGAAAACTCTCATTTGCCTAATTATAACTAAAATTATACTGCTGTTTTAGCAATATACTGAGCCAACAGTTGACAGTGATCATTAGAATAAACAAATCCATTTGATATGTGAACAATGCCATATGGAGAAGGACAAACTTTTCTGTGAAGCGTGTTCCTCTTCCTACATTACCTAATTTCATATAATTCCAGGTCAATCACAAAAATTATTATTTTTCACGACAGTCAACACATATAATTTGAAAGCAGTCTGGGCTTGATATAGTATACAAGGGATATTAAAATTTAAAGAAAACTATTTTTTTCTACAAAATGAGAAAACTCAACAATTATTCAACTAATTTATACCTAACATTCAACTTTTCTTTAAACCAAGTAACTCCTAGTTGTGAAACCAGGGCTCAAAATTTTGCAGCTGGTGGCATCTCTGACACATGGCCTCATCTAGGTCACGAAAAGTGTCCACAACATGCCACAGATCTGCATTCCGCTTGGCTGAAACATTCCGCTATGCCTTAACCTTAAAAGTACAAACATTAAACTTGCAAATCACTGTATTTTAACCTTATTCTGACAATTATCTATGAACTGGAAATTAATAGTTTGACTAGAAAATGTGAAGGATGCTTAGTCTGTAATATTTTGTCTGGTTAATGTCAGAAAGAGGGGTTTGATTGCTGAACAGATGATTTAGGCTATCGTCTCCAGGTTCCTTCATTCAAGGTGTTAAGCAGAGTAGCCTGTGGTTGTTGTGTTCATCTCTTCCCTTTGTTTGAATTTCATACTTGAGTATTTGCCATTCTCAAAATTATTCACCCTGTAAAAGATCTTATTGCCAACTAGTAAACATTTCCCTCCTGGAAAGATTTTCCAATACAATTGCAATATTTTCCTCAATGAAACATGGCAATCCATAAACAGCTGAATTCTAGTTTTCAGGCTAGTTTGAGCTGACTGTTTAGTCAATCATAGGACAATCCAAAAGCAGGCACCATTATGACAAAATATAACAAAACCAGTACATAGGGAGTAGCCCAAAATTACTGACCTTATCTTACTTACACTTTTCAGTAAAGTGAAACCCTATTTATTACAATGTACACAATGAGAAGTATAATCGAATATTCAAACTACAAGTTTAAGTTGATTGGGTTAAAATTGTCAAGTTGAACTTTTTTTATGCAGAAAATGCTCCAAAGTGATGATATATTTTGCCGTTGCCAGTATAATGATCATACTGCAGCTGAAGGAGAAAGACTATGTGAGAAAAGCACATGCAAGCATATATTTCAAAATCAAGTTACATAAGCTGCAAACTTAACAGACTGAAATGAAGTTAATTTCCCTTCTCCTCCCCTCACTCCCGAAGAACTGCAGCCACTCAAAAGCACCTAAGCAGGTTACATTTAGATGCATCATAGCTGTCAGGCAAATTTTTCAACTGTTGGTCTGGGAAACCTGTCTTTATTTGTTCTGGAGGTGGGAGGTGTACAACAGGGAAGAGACAGGAGAATGAATCTAGAAAAAGCAGGCAGGAAGCACTAGAATCACAGAATCCCTACAGTGCAGATAAAGGCCATTCAGCCCATCAAGTCTGCACCACCCCTAACTACTGACCACTTAGAGATCTTTTCCTGCCTTGTTTCAATTTTCAGACAGCTGGAAGAAATTTATCAGCAAGATTTGGTGGGCTGGGGAGGTGGGGTCAGGAAAGCTCAGAGAGTTACTCTTCTCAAGCCCTGGGTGTGAAAATACATGGCTTCAACAATGGCCTCTTGTGGTCACGTTGTGTGCAGGACCTGCACAGCCATGAGTGCTCCATTCCCTCCAACCCAAGACCCCCATAATCACCTGGCCCTAGAATCCGGGAGCTGCATGCAGCCCCAGCCCTGTTCACTGCAGCTTTCACAACTGCTGGGGCTACGGACCCATCAGCTAATCTGATTTTCCAACAGCTCTCTGCAATAGGGCTTCGTCCCAAGGGAAGGGGAGAAATTCCACCTCCAGCCCATTAACATTCCTTGCAATGTTTAACGGCCAAGGGCAGCCAGTAATGGTAGAGATATATTCTCCAATGACTCTTTAGATGGCAGGACAGGAAACCTCACCATCTGAAGAACCCTGATCCATGATTCTGTGTCACCTCAGGGAAGTGCTACATTGTCGAATATGCCATATTTCTTCTGTGGAGGAAGGTGCTGTCTTCCTGCTCAAATAGATATACAAACACTTTATTCTACTAGTCTTCTCAACATCTCTCTCAACAACAGAAAAATAATTATGCACATTATTTACTGCTTCTGGGGCGTCACTTTATAAACTGACCTCCACATTTGCCTACTGAAGAATAGCAAATGCACCGCAAATGCAATTATTTACGAAGAGTTCTGGAACATTGAAGGTGTGATTTCAGTTCTAAATAAATGCAACCTCTTTTCTGAAAAATGTCATGTATTAGTAAATAATTGCAGCTCAAGTCAAAGGAATATAGGATGCCAGAAGACACAAACGTTTCTTGAAAACTTAGCTTTTTTTAATGGCATTTATTCTGGATTGTTTTTACTGACACAAAGCTAATCTGATACCATACTGGCTTGTATGACAACAGCTGTCAGATATCAAAAACTATTCCTTGCAAACAAGTCACTTCAAAATAACTCATCTTCATCACAACTTCATTTATAAAGAAAGTATTGCTGCAGGAAATTATTGGTACAACATTGCGTTTGTGTTTATAAACATGCATTACAGATATCATTCATCTTGAAAATTAGCAGTGGCATAACAAGAAAGTCAAAGCATTACAATGTACAAATGACGGAATGATACCAGCTGCTCTCTCTCTCTGTCTATTGTTTTTTTGTTACTTGTAATCTTCGAATCACATTGGTCTGACTTGTATCATAGCTGTTTCTCCACATTAACAGTTATACAGTCAGAGTTATACAGCATGGAAACAAATCCTTCGGTCCAACACATTCATGCCAAACAGATAAAGAAAGCTGATCTAGTCTAATTTGCCAGCATTTGGCCTATATCCCTCTAAACCCCTCCTGTTCACGTACCCATCCAGATACCTTTTAAATGCTGTAATTGTATCAGCCTCCACCATCTCCTCTGGTAGCTCATTCCATACATACCACCCTCTGTGTGATAAAGTTGCCCCTCAGGTCCCTTTTAAATCTTTTCCATCTCACCTTAAATCTGTGTCCTCTAGTTTTGGACTCCCCTAACCTGGGAAAAAGACCACGATTGTTCACCCCATGTCCCTCGTGATTTTATGAGCTTCTGTAAGGTCATTCCTCAGCCTCCAATGCTCCACAGAAATAAAAACCCCAGCCTATTCAGCCTCTCCCTACCACCTTCCACTCCTTTCAAATT